CTACTATCTCAGTCTACAGCCAGTTCCCACTTTCATATGTTCGCTGACAACATAATTGGGTGACATGTCCAAGGCTTTTCATTTCAAATAACCTCACTAACAGTACCAAAATGATGATTTTACTCAGGCAAATTTTAGCAAGTACCTTAAGCTATTTGAAGGTAGTTAGGAATCATTCTTTGAAAAAGGAACGTCTTATTATTGTATTGCCTATATTATTTTCCATTATAAGAAACATCATTAGAATCACCAGTATTTTCATTGATTCCCTTGGTACCTGAAAATTTATCTTTCCTGAACATAATGTGGGGAGGTGATGGCCTCGTAATATTATCGCTGGACTATTAATCCAGAGACCCAGATAGTGTTCTGGGGACCCTGGTTTGAATCCCACCACGGCTGATGGTGGAATTTGAATTTAATAAAATGTCTGGAATTAAGAATCTGATGATGACCATGAATCCATTGTTGATTGTTGGAAAAACCCATCTGGTTCATTAATGTCCTTTAGGGAAGGAAACTGCCATCCTTACCTGGTCTGGACTATATGTGACTCCAGACCCACAGCAATGTGGCTGACTCTCAACTGCCCTCTGGGCAATTAGGGATGGGCAATAAATGCTGCCTGGCCAGTGACGCCCTCATCCCGTAAAAGAATAATGAGAAAATAATATTCAATTTTTGAGCATTTTTGGATTGGAGAATTACAAAGATTTGAGTGAAAAAGTCTTTGCTCATCTCAGTCCTAAATAACTGACCGTTTAGTTTGAGACTATGGCCCCATGTTTGAAATTCCTCTGTTGGAGAAACATTTTGTCAGTATCTACTCTGTTAAGTACCCTAAGAGTTTTGTATCAGTTTCAATTGGATCACCTCTCATTCTTAAAAACTTCAAACATTCCAAAAATAGACCAAGTCTGCTCAATCACTCCTCCAATGACAATTATCTTATCCATGTAACTAACCAATATGATTCCACTCCCAGTCTTGAACTCCTGTGTTCTGTGATACATCACAGGGCAGCAACATGTTAAACATGATTTACTTTTCATAAATCCAAAGTGACTCTGTTTAATCATGTTGTGATTTTCCAGGTGCCCTGTTACCAGATCACTTATAATAGGTTTGAGCACTTTGCCTACTTCAGATGGGAACCCAACTGGCCTATAGTTCTCTGTTTTCTCCGCTCTCTTTTCTCACAATGGTGTTATGTTTATTTTCTTCCAATTATTGCAGTATTGCAAAATTTAATGTGATGTTTAGTTTTTTTAGGTGAATGCTGAGCAGTTGTCTTTTCTTCCTCTTTAAAGTTATCCAAGTATATCATATGATCCACTATTCACAGAGTATCTTCTGCATTATCATGCCAGAATTTCACCTATAGAAAGGTCCAATGCAAAAGGAGACCATCATGTCTGTGCGGGCTGACAATAGCCAATTGGTCTAATCACACTTTCCGATTGTTGGTGTAGTTTTATAGGTTATTGCACTGAAGTACAAATCCAGTTACTTTTCAAATGAAGGGTCTAGGCCCGAAACGTCAGCCTTTCTGCTCCTATGATGCTGCTTGGCCTGCTGTGTTCATCCAGCCCTGCACCTTGTTGTCTCGGATTCTCCAGCATCTGCAGTTCCTACTATCTCTGATTCACTTTTCAAATATGATGGTTTGAGACTTTATCATCTTTGCAGAAAGAGAGTTTCAACATTCCCACAATCTTTGATGTGAAAAAACTTGGCCTCAAGAGCTACATACTTGTTGCATCAAATCCATGCCTCTCACTGCCAAACCCCAAGTTATGGGCGCCTCAAGTAAGGGGATATTATCTTTCCGTCCACTCTCTTCAGAGCCCCTCATAATATATTCTCTGCTTTCGTTATGTAGATATATTTTAATGCCTGCATGACCACCCTATCTACCTGCCTGGTCATCCTCACAGATCTGTGGACAATCAGTCAAAGTTCATTACTTTTGTGTACACTTCTCAGTATTCTACCATTTCTCAGTATTCTACCATTTCTTGCCTTGGGTTAGCTTTTCTATCTGAATTCTGCAAATAATCTAAATACTAGTGTAAAAGAATGCATTTGAATCATAATTAAAATTGACCTTCAAATAATGATTAAACTTAAAAGCATTTACCAACAAGGCACAATAAGATTGGGATCTTTTCAATTACACAGAGATAAAAATTAGTTAGTGAGACTAATGCTGTTGGATTGGACTTGGTATCTATGTTCTGCAGGAGACAGTTCTGGGTTATGTGGTGATCCTGGTATCCCGGCTCATGGTTCGAGACTAGGCAATGAATTCAAGATAAAAAGTCTTCTGCGTTTTAGCTGTGAAGCTGGTTATGCTCTCCGAGGTTCATCGGAACGATCCTGCAGACCAAATGGGTCCTGGTCAGGTGTTCAACCAGTTTGTGAAGGTAAGTGTCTCCTTCTTCGAAAAAAAATGAGGTGAACTATTCAAAAGGCTATTACCAAATTTGCCAATAAATATATTCAATGATTGAGGAAATTGAAATGAAGCACAGTGAAACTTGGATTTTAAAGGTTTGAGTCACTGCAGCAGATAAGAAAGACCGAAGCGGAGGAAGAAGCCGACAGTCTGGAGATATGTGACATAGTGAGTCGTTGTGTAGAATTGACAGTCATCCTAGAAAACAAAGAAGCAGGGAGATTGTAAAAAGTGGCAAATATGAAACTTGGGAAAAAAAAAACGTGTGCGAAGGAGGAAATCCCAAAGCTGAAGAAGTTGATAAGTTAGTGAGAGAACATTTTTTTTCCTACATTTTATACTGAAGTTTGTAAGTCATGCTGGAAGTGATTCTCTAGAAATGAGAGGAAAAAGCAGCCTTGGATTAGTCTAGATTTTGCAAAAATGAAATGGGAAAGTCACCATGACTGTATACTGATCACGCTGTCTGATGAGTTAAAAGGAGACTTCAAACTGGCATAACTCAAATTTGTTTATCTGTGATTTTGTCTAGCCAGGCATCCAGTTTTACTGAATTTACCATTCAGCACTGTTGATGGAAAGACAGAATTTTTACACAGAAAAGAAACTTGAAGTCAGCCTCAGCAATCAAGGATGTTTTGTTGGGATCAGAGGCAAAATCAAGGCAAAATCTTGAGCTGTGGGAAGGTGTTTGATCACTGATCTAGGAGTTTTAGAATAATTGAATCCCTACAGTGTGGAAACAGGCCATTTGGCCCACCAAGTCCACACCAACCTTTCGAAGAGCATCCTACCCCGTCCTGCCCTGTAACCCTGCATTTCCCATGACTAATCTACCCAACCTGCACATCCCGGAATACTGTGGGCAATTTACCATGGCCAATCCACCTAATCTGCACATCTTTGGAATATGGGAGAAAACTGGACCACCCGGCGGAAACCCGCGCAGACACGGGAAGAATGTGCAGACAGTTGCCCAAGGGTGGAATTGAACCCGGGTCCAAAGCGCTGTGAGGCAGTATTGCTCACCACTTTAGGGAGGCTTAGATCCACTCGTGGGTGAGGGGTTGGGAATGCGGTATATAATCATGAGCAGGTAGCCTTGCAGAACTGGGTTGAAGCACTCCGGCTTCTCCTAGCCCACAATTTCTTCTGAAGAAGGGTCTAAGCCCAAAACATCAGCTTTCCTGCTCCTCTGATGCTGCTTGGCCTGCTGTGTTCATCCAGCTCTACACCTTGTTATCACCGTAAAATCATTTATCTTTCTCACGAAACAGCCTTCAGCTCTCTTTAACAACTGGGCTTCCCAAGGGCACATACCCATGCAGCCAAGCTAAACCTGAAACAGAGGTTAAATATGCAGTACACAACCTCAATAAAATTACCCCAAGGAAATTGAAATTTGAAAATAATCAGTTTCATTGCCCCATCAATGAGCAGAAGAAGAGTGAAGATTAAGTGTGCATAAACTGAAGGATTTGAATGAAGAATTAATCTACTGCTAAAGCATTACACAGCATTGCACAATGAGTGAAAACAATCATTAACATGATGTAGCAACAGAGATGGAGAGAGTACATTCTGAACCCACTCACCACAACAGCATCTGAATCTAACACAAAAAAAAATTTAAGAAAAGGAGGAAAGTAGACTAAAAGGAAAAATATCAAATGGAATCGGTCAGAGGCTTGAAAGGCGAAATGCAAAAGACTATGTCAGTAAAACAGTCTGAAATACTGCAGTTGCAACCTTCAGAGCAACAGGAAAGCATGTGCAATGTAGGAAGCACTGATGCCACAATGTATAAAGTCTCCAATCAAACCATTACTTTTAACACCATATGTGTGGCATAAATAGTTTTTTCTAAACTTTGAAATCACATTTGCTTAGGCGGTTGGTTTGTATTTGGAAATGTTTTCCATGATTCAGTAAGATCATGGCTGATCTGATAATCCTCAAATCTACTTTCCTGCCTTTTCCCAGCAACCTTTGATTCCATTATTGATTAAAAATCTGTTTATTTCAGCCTTGAATATACTCAATAACCCAGCTTCTACAGCCCTCTGCCTTAAAGAATTCCATAGATTCAGTACCATCTAAGAGAAGAAATTTCTCCTCATCTCTATCTTAAACATGCAACCCCTTATTCTGAGATTATGTGCTGTAGTCTTAGACTCTCCTACAATGGGTAAACAACCTTCCACATCTTCTCTATCAAGACCCCTCAGAATGTTATATGTTTCAATCAGGTCAAGTCTCATTTTTTCCAAACTCCAATGAGTATAGGCCCAACCTACTCAACTTCTCCTCATAAACAGACACTCCATGCCCAGAATAAACCTCGTGAACCTTCTCAAGATTGTCTCTAGTGCCAGTCTATCTTTCCTTAGGTAAGGGGCCCATGCTGTTCACAGTATCATGCTTATACATGTGCCAATTTCTTTCATTATTTCATAGCTGTATCATGTGGAAATCCTGGCACCCCAGAAAATGGGAAGATAGTTTACAGTGACGGTGTGGTATTCTCCAGCTCCATTTCTTATTCCTGCTGGGAAGGCTATAAAACGTCTGGTCTAACTACCCGGCATTGTACTGCTAACGGAACATGGACTGGATCAGCTCCTGACTGCACAGGTTAGTGTTACAGTACAGAAGCAGCAGTGAAATATCCTGCGATGGTTTTCAAACCAGCCCCCTCTTCTCATTCATCACTGTGAAGAACAATTTAGAATCAGATAGACCTGATTTTATTACCTACCACATATCACACCAATCCACTAAATCCAACTGAACTATTTGGTCCTTTAAAAGGCTTTCTTTAAGCCTTGATGTGGATGTGCCGGTGTTAGACCGGGGTGGATAAGGTCAGAAGTCACACAACACCAAATTGTAGTCCAACAGCTTTATTTGAAATTGCAAGCTTTTAGAGTACTGCCCCTTTGTCAGGTGAAGAGGTCACTTCACCTGACAAAGGAGCAGCAGTCCGAAAGCTTGTGATTTCAAATAAACCTGTTGGACTATAACCTGGTGTTGTGTGACTTTTGGCTTTCTTTCAGTCTGACAAGGCTAATGCTTGCAAACAAGTTCAGGAGGATAAAAATGATGGATTTTTGTCAGATCATACCCAAAGAACATTAGCCTCCTGTTAACTGATATCCATTACTGCCTGTAATTTCCTTCTCCAAAACTGTAAAAACACTAGTTGCATTGGAAAATTTAGTTTGTTTATATTTAGTGCCTTTTGAATCTTAAGCTGTTTAATTACGGGTATGAATGAGCATCTCAACATTATTTGTCAGTGTCAAAGTTCTGTAAAGGGAGAAAGGCTAATTCATGCCTGATAAAGCGAGCTTTGACAAGAGAGAATTATTTTCCGTCTGGTTCTTTTCGTTCCAGAAATTCATGCAAGGATTGTCAGTAACTGTCTGTAACTAAAAACAGAAAATGCTGAAAATGCTCCATAGTTCTGGCAGCATCAATGGAGTGAGAAAAGGAGGTTCAGGTCAATTAACTTTCATTAGAGTTCTAATGAAAGGTTATTGACCTCCCATGTCAAATCTATTGCTCTCTCCACAGACCTGACGGATATTTCCAGCCCTTTTCCTTCCAGATTTCCATCATGCACTGTACTTAACATTTGTGTTCTGTGAGTATTTGCCCTTGCTCAAGTAAGTGGGCTCTCATGACTGTCAGTGTTTTAGGCACAGTGTCGTCAAGAGTTTTCCATCTCCCCTATTAATACACTCAAATACCTGCAGTATTAGCTGCAGATGGAGACTGATCAAAGTTCCACAATGCGCTGTTCATAATGCATTCTAATTTGAAAGAGACACTTACAGATTCTGGAGTTAATTATTATGCAAATACCTTCAATGATCAAATTAAAACCTTGTTTAATTGAGGTTTTGCATCAATAATTGTACTCACCTTTTGTTGGAACCTTTTGTCAGAGTCCTCTGCTGTTCTTTCACTATAAATATATCTTACTTGACCTAGTGCCCATGCTGTTAGAGATAATTGCAATTGTTGGCAATTCCTCTCACTACTTGATCTCTTAAACTCCAGTGTCAAGTCTCTTAGTGGAGTATAAATCCTTTCACAGCCCAGAAAACTGACATCTCTGTTTTTACTTTGCTCATCTCCTATGAATTGGGTTGAGTAAGCAATAATTTTTTAAGTACACCTTGATTGTATTAGATCACTCTATTCAGCTTTTGGACCAGGATTCAAATTAAAGATAAAATGGGATTCCTAATAGTTAGAAGGAAGCCTCTTCCCAGTTAATACCATATAATGGTAACAAGCAATTTTACTCAGAAGTATTATAGAAATGACAATGATCACATTGGTACAACAAGAATGTGTCTTTGAGATTTAAGACTGTGTTTGACAAACACTAGAGGCAGGTTCACTTACCATTTTGCCATGGTATATCTCACCTGGCACGACTTAATCTGATCTGGGACGTGGCCCATTCCAACATTACAAACCATTAACTCTGATCTCAAGTATTTATTGTTCCATAAGGTACTATAATATAAGGTAATATGAAGTTATATTTTATGAGTAGAAGCTGCAGTATAAAGCACACTTTAGCATATTAAAAATTGAAGTAAAACTTTTTTTTTCCTTATAATATTGATAAAAAAACTAATTCTGATCTAACTTTTTTAAAAAATGAATATTAAAATGTAATCTATTTTTGATGATAGTTGAAATTTCCATTATGTAAGGAATGGATAAAAACATTGTAATGACTTGTAAGTAACTGAATCACTTCAGTCAGATTTGTTTTGGGAACAAGAGAATTAGTTTGGAAACTCAATATGATTTTATAATGTTTGAACATATTGAATAATTTTTGCTGAAAAAAATGACAATTGTTACAATTTTCAGTGATATGATAAAAGAGCATTTCAGTGATAAGTTGAGACGATAATATGTATCCACAAGAACGCTAATGACAGATAAAGGTAGAGAAAATGATTGTACTGTTGGGTGTAATTGTCATGCAGTTTCTTCTGGCATATTTTAATATGAAGAAGTGGCTAAAGATAGAATGAAGTAACATTCTTGTTACTTCACCTAATAGATTCTTCATTGTGAAAAGGCCAACAAAGTGAATTGTGTGGTCTCATCATTTGCAGACTTTCTTTCAAGGATCCATTGTCAACCTGTTGAAAGAAGGCAGGACTGCAGTTAATAAAGGCCTAAAATCAAAAGTGCAGATGCAATCCAAAAAGAAATAAATTACAACACAGCATTGAAAATCATGAATATGTCTCAACCCTAAACAACATTATTAAGGCAAATAAAGAGGAATAAGGATATATTAAAAATTAAATAAACATTATGGAGAATAAGACAAAATGAGGTGTGACAAGGATGAAATTCAGATCAGTCTCCCAGTGAGCCATATGAACATGTTCATCTTTATGTTCCATCACTTTAGCTAAAGTGTGACATAACCCTTGAGAGGAGCAAAGCTGCTACATGTTGTGTGAATTATTATTTTGTGAATTATTTGGAGATTTGAAATTGTAGTTTAGTTTAGTTTCATATTTCTAAGTGCATTTTGGTGATTTTCGGAGACCATTTTGCACGTTCCATTTTAGCACCCTGCCTTCATTCTGAAAGGCTGAGCAATATTTTAATGTTAAAGCAAAGACAGCAAGTAAAATAGGTGGTGCAAAACAACAATTGCTGGCCTATACTCTTTTACTTGCGAGCTGTGTGGGGAAATTTAGCTGCACACTGTAGGAGTTTTTATGACTGTAATCTTCATAAGTAAAAATTATCATCTGCAGCATGTAATTACAAAGTAATAGAAACAATTTAAAGAGATTTTGGGCACCAAACAGTTTAAGAAAAACAATTTAAACTACAAGCATAAAAAATCATGAAATTATATTTTTCCAGAATTAAAATGCTGCGTTCATGAGCAATATTGAATAATGAGGACAAGAATTACAATATTGAACTGGAAATAAAATCATGCTCTGCAGTGTTTTAACTTTTGTTTTTTTCCTTGTTATGGTCAATTATAGTTATTGACTGTGGTGACCCAGGTGCTCTCGCTAATGGTGTCCATCTGGGAAATGACTTCACTTATAATAAAACAGTGACCTATCAGTGTAACCCGGGCTTTCAGATGGAATCAGCTCTATCTTCTACACTGCGCTGCATGAAGAATGGCTCTTGGAATCAGACCAAGCCAGTTTGTAAAGGTAGGTACAGATGCTATGTGGAAGCAAGGGGCTGTCACTACCGCACAGTATATGCTCAGTTCCAAGTATGCAAGTCTTCTAATTTGCACAATTGGTTAATCACTGTTCATTAGTTCTATCCATGCTGATGATAAATGCATTTAACTGGGCAGCGTTTGCATTAATTTTCAAGTTGACGATTTGATTGAGATCAACGCTACCAAAGGAACACTGTAGGTAAGCTCATAATGCCTTTAATGGTAATCCCTATAATTGAGGACCCACGGTAAGCATCTGAGGAAGATCCGGTGGTTGAATAGGAAACTGAGAGTGGATACCTTATCTGCTTGATCAGTTGTTTCTGGACAAAGTAATCTTTCTAATGTGAGTACTGTAGTCAAGAACACAAATAAATGTGTTCTCCCATTAACCTCTCTGGTTTTATCACTGGTAATTACAATCCAATAATAGGAATATGGATAAAGTTGTATCACTTATTCAGGAATTGAAGCTATGAGGACTGGTGCTGTTTTTGTGCTTAAAACCCTAGTAAACTAATTGACATTTTTGACAAGGAGTTGATTCTGACTTGTCCAAAGGATTAAATATAGTGAATGTGAATTAAAATGTAGCAACTTTCAAACAAGAGGGGATACCAAATAAACTTGTTCGCTCCAAGGATAATGGTATTTTGGAATGCATTACAAAGGAATGTCATTACAAATAGATTTAAATGACATGTAGACAAGAAAGAAATTGAGGCATAATTTCAGATAAGATATAAATATAATAGATGATATTTGGGTATGAAATCCCTAGGCATTCCAGGAACATGGCTCTGCATTTCTAATTATTTTAAGGCTTACTACGAAAGTATTGGCCATGGATTTATTGATCAGAGCACAGCAGCAGTAGGCCACTGTCAGATTACTCATGTGCTCTGAGATTCTTTGCTTCCCCGGATGTGTGCCATTAACACTCAAGAAGCTTAACACCATCTCAGATAATCCACTGTTCCACCTCTGATCCTCAGTAATAGCAGTATGTATTAACTATATGATGTGCTGCAGAAATTCACCAAGACTTCTTAGACAGCACCTTCCAGATCCACGACTACAACCATCTACAAGGACAAGGGCAGTAGATACGTTGGAACACTGCCACCTGCAAGATCCCTCTTGAAGCCATGCAACATCCTGATTTGGAAATATATAATCGTTCGTTAAGTGTTGTTAGTCAAAACCCTGGAGCTCCCTCCCTAACAGCAATTTGGGTCTATTTGCACCAAATGGATGGCAGTGGTTCAAGAAGACACCTTTATAATCATCTTCTGAAGGACATCTAGAAATTGGCAATAACTACTGGCCAACCAGTGAAGCCCATAACCCTGAATGATTTTTAAAAGAATTACAGAGTAGGTACTTGAGGATTTCACAGCTCCTGTAAGGAATTATCATTTGACCGCTATTTCCAGCTTCCACCAAACAGATAACGGGATCATTTAGCAGCGGAGACTCGCTCTTTCAAACCTATTTCATATCTTTTCAAGGGAATTCACAAAGACCATTCTTGTCAATGTCTTTGGACATGCATTTGAGAATGTTGGCCAGAATAGTGTCAGAAATATTCTGTTCTGTTATTTAACTGGTTCCTGTATACCAGTCAAATTCTTATGAAGTAAGCTTAAGGAGAAAACGGACCATTTCTTCCATAATCATTGTCAATAATTTTGTAATTAGATTCCTGGTCTGAATGTGCTGTAAGTTGGAAGGATATAATAAGTTGAGCAGAGACAGAGAGAGACCCAGAAAGATAACTTTAAGATTGCAAGAAACTGTATGAGAGGCCTAAATAGAGAGTAGGTGATATACATAAGAATGATAGATTTACAGAAGTTGACAGAATATGAAGGAAACATAATGAAAGAGATACTGAGATGACAATGTGGGTAAATGTGTATCAGGCTAACAGTGAAAGAAGTTGGCCATTACAGGAAAGTGGCAACACTCTTTCCTAAAATTTGTTCTAACAAAATAACATTGCTCGGGATTAATGTTATGTTGTTAAGTGGGGCTTTACCAGGTAGTGAAGCTGAGTGTGTTAACCTGATTATCAGAGTCACTGTATAACCTAAATTTAGTACCATATTGCAAAGGTTATGGTGCTGCGGTGTTTTAATGGCTACACTTAATGTATTTGTTTTTGTGTGGTTTTAGAACTCTTTGCAATTAATTTGAAAGGTATTCTAAGGAAAATCAGTCAAAAAATGAACAGTGTTCCCTTGACTGATGGTAGTTCTCATTCAAACATAGTGTTCCAATCGAGCTCGGAGGGATGAACTTACTCCTCGCTTTGTCCTACTTGTGAGCTGGCTACAACAGAGTTTGACTTTAAAGGGGTGTGATATTGCCAATTCAATAAATATGCACTTTACTCTGTATAATTTGCAGCAAAATTTAAGCCAGCCAGGTCCATTAGGTTAACAAGTTTACAATTAATTCTGTTTCTAAAGACTTCTCAGACAACGGTACAGAAATTATTAGCAATGGGAAATGCACAAATATATTCAACTTCCCATTTATGCAAAAAGCTCAAATATAACCCCACAATCTTGCAAAAAATACAATAAAGCTCTGCAGAATATCTGATCATTATACCTGGCCAAGTTAAACGTGAAGTCAGAACATGGGCTAAGTGTTGATTGCCGAGAGTCTTATTTACAGCTGAAGGCCCACTTATCACAATAGCTACTAGGACTGCTGGTACTGAGGTTTTTTCACTAGAGCTGCCATGACTGGGATGATTTTCTTGCTCTTTTGGTGACTGTGGCATTGATTCTGAATTTTCTTCCCCCTGTTCCCGTGCTGGCTGCCTCCCTGACTGTTGGTTCAAATCTAATATTTTTTCAACAACTAAGAATTATAGAGGCAGAGAGAGTCACGAGCATAGAGCAGGCCCTTTGGCCCACTATGTCTATGCCAACCAACAAAAACCAAACTACGCTAATCCCAATTACCTGCACTTAATCCATAGCTTCCCACGTTGCTGGCATTTTAAGGAATTATCCAGATGCTTCTTAAATGTTGCAAGATACCTGCCTCCACCACTCTCTCAGCATATTCCATTCATCTACCACCCTTCGTGTTAATTGTTTTTTAGATCTCTTCTAAACCACTTGCTCCTCATTTTAAACTTATGCCCTCTGGTCTTAGACACGTCTGCCATGTGGAAGAGATTCTCATGATCTACTCTGCCTATCCCTCTCATAATTTTACGTACTTCAATCAGATCCCCCTCAGCCTCCTCTGCTCCAAAGAAAATAAATCCAGCTTATTCAAACTCTCCTCATATCTGAGACTTTTTATCCCAGGCAATATCCTGTTGAATCTCCTCTGCACCCTCTTCAGGGCATTCACATCCTTCCTATAGTGGTCAAACAGAACTGAACACAGTATTCCATCCCTGCCTAACAAATGTTTTATAAAATTTTAACAGGATTTTCTTCCTCCTATATTCTATGCCCTGGCTAATAAAGGCAAGCATCCTGCATGCCTTCTTCATCACTCTGCGTACCTGTGCTGATGCCTTCAGGGATCTATTGACCTGTATACCAAGATCCCTTTGTTCCTCAGTTCTCCCTAGGAACCTACCATTCCTTGTGTATATCCTTCTCTTATTAGACCTCCCAAACCTCCACTTATTAAGATTAAATTCCATCAGCCGTCTCTCTGCCCAATATACCAGCTGATCATTATCAGACTGCAGCCTGATACCATTCTCCTCTTTATCGACAACACCCCACTTTTTGTGTCACATCTAAGTTAATGTACATAACAAGCAGCAAGGATCCCAGCACCGATCCCTGTGGAACACCATTGGCTTTCAATTACAGTTTGCCCAATTAGATTGAATCTCATGTGGTCTTACTTTTTGGACTAACCTCCCATGTTGGACTTTGTCAAAGGCCTTGCTGAGGTCCTTGTAAAGTACATCAACTGCACTGCCTCCATCAGTACTTTTAGTCACGGTTTCAAAAAAAACTCAATTAAATTAGCCACTCCTTCTAACAAATCCATGCTGACTATTCCTGATCAATTCTTGCCTTTCCAATTATTGATGAATCCTGTCTTTCAGATTCCTTTCCAATAATTACCTGACCACTGATGTCAGAATAACTGGTCTGTAATTACCTAGCCTATCCCTGCTACCCTTCTTGGACAAAGGAATCACATTATCTATCCTCCAATCATCTGGCACTTCAGCTGTGGCCAGCGAAATATTAAATGTATTCACCAGGATTCCAGCAATCTTGTCCCTTGCCTCCCAGAAACGCCTGGGATACATCTGTTCAAGCCCTGGGAATTTATGCACCTGCATGCTAAAACATCTAATACCATCTACTTATTAATCTTAATGTCTTCTAGAAACTCACCATCCCAACTCAAATCACCAGCTACAATATCTTTCTCCACTTTCAATACGGATAACAAATATTCATTTAAGACCTCACCAACAAAGTTTGACCCTTTGGCCTCTAATAGGTGCCAATCTTTCCCTGTTAATGATCATAAGCTAACAAGCTTATAAAAAGCCTTGCGGTTTTCCTTGATCCCAGCTGCCAAAGATATTTTATTGCCCCTCTTTGCCATCTTAATTTCTTTTTCAGCAACCCCTGTACGTAGTTTCCTGAAAGTGGCATCACATGTTGACAGGGAGTTGAAGAAGGCGTTTGGCACACTTGCCTTCATGGGTTAGAGCATTGAGTATAGGAACTCAATGTTCCTATGGAGTTGTTGTGGCTGTACAAGACATTGGTGAGACCACTTTTGGAGTACTGCTTACAGTTCTGGTCACCCTGCTTTAGGAAGGATGTTATTAAACTGGCGAGGATGCAGAAAAGATTTACAAGGATATTACCAAGTCTGGAGGGTTTGAGTTATAAGCAGAGGTTGGATAGGCTGGGACTTTATCTCTGGTGTGCTGGTGGCTTAGGGGTAACCTTATAGAGGTTTTTAAAGTCATGACAGATATAGATAAAGTGAGTAGCCAAGGTTTTTTTTCTACATGGTAGGGAAGTCCAAAACTAGGGGGCATAGGTTTAAGATAAGAGGAGAGAGATTTAAATGGGACCTGAGGGGCAATGTTTTCACACAGAGAATGCTGCATATATGGAGTGGGCTACCGTAGGAATTGGTAGAGATGGGTACAATTACAGCATTTAAAATATATCTGGACAGGTTCATGACTAGGAAAAGTTTAGATGGATATGGGCCAAATGCAGGCAAATGGGACTAGTTCAGATTGGGAAACCTGGTCGGCATGGATTAGTTGGACTGAAGGCTCTGTTTCCATGCTGTATGACTCTACGTGCCATAAGATGTGCCAGAACAACTGAAACAGAGGATGAAGTGGTGGTTTCATTAGTTCACCAGCTGACAGTCGAGTGTTGAAGGGTTTTAATGTGTCTGGCATATGCTTCCTTCTTTTTCTCTATCAAACTCATAATATCCTTTTCATTCAGGGTTCCTTGGACTTGCTGCCCTTGCCCTTCATTCTTAAAGGAACATGCTGGCTATGAATTTTCACTACTGTCAAAAGACTTCCAATTACCGAATGTCAACTTAGCTGCAAGTTGCTACTCCCAGTCAATATTTGCCAGATCCTGGAAAACTCCATTAAAATTAGCCTTCCCCCAGTTTAGATAACTGAGTTCTGCACTATCTTTATCCCTTTCCATTATGGCTTTGAAACTTACAGAGTTACGGTCACTATCCCTAAAATGCTCGCCCACTGAAACTTCAACCACTTGACCAGCTTCAGTCCCTAGAAATAGGTCTAGAACTGCCCCATCTCTTGTAGAACAGTCTACATACTGGCACAAAAAGTTCTCCAGGATGCACTTTAAAAATTCCAATCCATCTAATCCTTTCACACTGAGGTGATCCCAGTTAATATTAGCAAAGTTGAAATCCTGTCCTTTATTAACATGTCTCAGTGGTTGCAACAATATCATGTTCCTATGTGCTGATCAACGCTCTGACTTCATCTTCCATACCAATTGGGCCACATAACCTCACTCTGAGAGCTCCATAGACTCTGTGCCTCCAAAAAGCAGCTTGTGTCTTTCACAAATGCTACAGTTTAGCTGTTGTAGGCCAGTGTCCTTTCCTTCAAAAAGTTTTATTGGAAAAATCAAAAGATTTAGACAAGCATCCAGCCAATAACATTATAAACTTTTTTTTAAGTAACTCATGTTCATAACAAAGAGAAACAAATTTCAGGGTCATTTATTCTTTTAATTATTTAATAACAGTGACTTGTGCAACTTAAATATTAATAGTGAATGGTGAAATGAAAACTGTCTTTGCACTAAAACATCCTCACTGGAGAAATTCTGCATATAGATTTCTTGTTGACTATCATCCATGTGTACAAATGCTAACTTTATATGAGGTAAAATAAGATCCTTGTTGATCTTTTGTGTTTATAAAGTGCTTGAATTTGTTGCTTGTTTTTTTTCCCTTCCACTTCCTACGAAAGCTATCACTTGCACACAGCCACCCCTAGTGCTTCATGGAAGAGTGCAGGGATCAGACTTCAGATGGGACTCGAGCATCAGCTATAATTGTTTGGAAGGGTATCAGCTCTCCTTGTCTGCTATTCTGACCTGTGAAGGAAATGGGGTTTGGAGAGGAGAAGTCCCTCAGTGCTTGCGTAAGTTTGGATCACCTTTCTTGTATAATTTTAACTTGGAAAGCAGGGTTGCCATTTTCTTTTTTGAAAATGTTGTTGGTTAATGATCTGTAAATTGTATCTTTGGTTTTCATTGTCTTCTAGTTAAGTTTGAGTTTGATGATTAATAAATCTCCACTGCTTTATTCATTTTCTTTATTGCTTTCCCCTACCCATTTATTGCGAAAGTTAACCTCAAATCTAACCTGTACCACCTCCTTTAGTGGTTGAAATAATTTTTGTCCTCCATATAAATAACAAGAGTTGTGGGCTTAATAATACCTTCAGTCTGGGATTCTTTATCTAATGTCAAGCATCCACCAATGGTCAGTAAAGCTAAGTTATTTGCAAGTATTTGTGAGTTGAGAATAGTGAGCAATTCTGATTTTTCCCTGACCCCCTCTCTGGAGAAAGATTCACCTCATGATTCAGCTATACAAAATACAAAATATCTCAAATACAATATCCCAAGACTTTGTGATGTGCCAGTGCCTTAATTGTATTACATCGCAATGCCGGTGTCTTGATAATTTGCTATAAATATTCACTCAGAAATAAAGAAAAACTATATTCGAATACCATATTTTTGAAAATGACATCTTTTAATTTACAATACAGTATGTCATTTTCAGTTGAATTCATGTGTTAATCCCTGGAACAAAACTGCATCAGACATAAAATTAATGGAAGACCTTTACAGTACACAAAGTATGGCTTGCATCATTATTTTTGGGTGTGGCAATCATCAATAGTTTACTTGTTTGAATTTTAAGCTAACAGACTTGCAAACTGTTCGTCCACACAGGTTGTAATCTATATTGCAAATCTTGATTTATTTCTCTTTTTTTGAAGAAATCCAAAGTGCTATCTTGTATTATTTGTATTGACTTGCAGATATGCTTATAGGAAGACAACTTTGTATTTTACAATTGTTTTTAAAGGACCCTGCTGGTATGCAGCAGGAAGACACTGAGATAATCAAACACAGACTCTCATGGGCCAGTGTCACGTGACTGGAATTATTTTGTTTTCCTGGGACCTGTTGAAATAGTAATATCCCTTTTCAGCAAGTAAACAGGGTCATATTCCATTTGTCAAAATGTAATTTGCAATTTGTACAACATGGACATAACAAGGACACAAACAATGACAATTATGTAAGTAATGCTGTTTGCTGACAGTATAATTCACTTATTCCTCTTGCTTTATCCTCCTGTCCTAAATGCAGTGACTAATGCTGGCTGCAGTCCTAGGGGAATCAATTGGCTGCATTGAAATGGCCACCTCTTTTATGATTGTAGGTAGCACATCTCAACAGTACCATTTAAAAGTAAGGGTGTTATGGTTCAGACATTCAGGGCACTGGAAAGGCCATGGGTGGAATCTTCCCAGCCCCCGAATCAAGTGACGAGTGGTGAGTCAGTTGGTGAAATGCAGTGAGATTGAATAAAATGAGATTCTCGACATCAAGGAAAAGTCAGATTTTCTACCCAAGGTTTTAACAGAAACATGAGAATCTCATTAGCAAGCATGCGAGGCCTATTTGCATGCATCAACATCTGCTATTACCTAATCTTGCTTCATAAACAATGCTGTTTGCCATTTTCTGAGGTACTGGAGAGGAACTAGATGGTATTGACATGAAGGCCTGAACAAGTACCTGGTGACTGTGTCTCATTGGTGTCTTTTCCAAGCCTGCATCATGTACAGCATTTCCAACATCTCAGGGTATGCTACATGAGCAATGACCATCTGCATCCGTCATCAGACACACACCAGTCCCATTACTTCTTTGTCTCTGATTCATTTATAATACAGCCAACTACTTCAGAACTGCACTCTGAAGTCCCCCAACAAGTAACATTAGTGTCACACAAATGCTAGGCAATGACCATCTCCAATAAGAGATAATCTATCCATGGGCACTTGATGTTGAATGGCACGACCATCACTGAATCATCCACTATCAATACCCTGGGGGTTACCTTTGACTGGAAACTCAACTGGACTCTCCATATAAACACAGTGGCTACAAGAGCAGATCAAGGGCTAGGCATACTCCAAATGAGTATCTCAACTCTTGATTCCTCAAAGCCTGTCTGCTATCCACAGGCAAAAGTGAAGGGTGTGATGGAATACTCTCCACTCCCCAGAATGAGTGCGGCTCCAACAATGCTCAAGAAACTCGATGCCATCCAGGATTTCCACACTGTAGGGATTCTATGAAAAAATCTATGGACAAAGCAGCCCGCTTGATTGACATCACATCCACAAGCATCCTCTCTACTATCGATGCTCAGTAGCAGCAGTATATACTATGTACAAGATGCACTGCAGAAATTCACCAAGGATCCTCAGACAACACCTTCCAAACCAACAACCACTTTCATCTAGACAGACAAGGGCAGCAAATACATGGGAACACCACCATCTGCATGTTCCCCTGCAAGCCACTCACCCTCCAGGCTTGGAAAATATCACCGTTCCTTCACTGTCGCTGGGTGACAATCCTGGAATTCCTTCCCTCAGGGCTTTGTAGGTCTACCTACAGCATATGAACTGCAGCAGTTCAAGAAATCAACTCACCACTACCTTCTCGGCAGCAGCTAGGGATGAACAATAAATGCTGGCCCAGCCATCGACACCCATGTTCCACAAGAGGAAAATAAAAATATGCAAAACAAAAACCCACCTTTCATTGTAATGCTATGCTGCTCCAGGTCACTGCAGACTGAGTGTGCTGTATTATCCTTACCTGATATTATGTGACTCCATTGACAAACAATGTTGCCAGCATCTTCAGATGATTCTTTCCAACCAACAGTTGTTAACACAAAGGATGATACCCTGGATTAGAGCCCTGTGTATTCCCACAAATGGACTTTGTTCTCAGAGGCTGGGATTTGCTACCTACAGATCAAATCCTTAGGGTCTATACAACAAGAAATTATTCCTGTTCTGTTCTAAAGTTGACAACACAACCTCACTGTCGAAGCCCCAATCATTGTTACTCTCTGGAATCTTCCTTGGTCCTACCTCAGGAAGTTGTTGTTATTAATATATTGAGAACTATATGCCTTAATGTACAATCAACTTGGGATTAATATAGTAACATCATCAAGCTCAAATCTCTTGCTTGAAAATTGATCATATGATGGTCTTCCATGTTATTGCTTGAGTTTGTTCTGGAGTTGCTTTGAAGTTGCTTCCTTTTGAAGAACAAAGAAGACTATTGCCAACTATGTAACGTCTTTGCACAAATTGCAAGTTTTCCTACTTTGTTTAGTACTTAAAATACTGAACTGTTATTGCAATTTCAAGTTTAGCTGCAGGATTGAATCTACATTTATTAAATTGACAGATATAATTGTGAGGGACACTGAGGCAGTGTCAAACATGAAATCAATTCTGTCAGTCTCTGTGTGGGCTTTGTGGACAACTCAAAGCCTAAATTAATGGTTTGGAACGGGAAATACCACCTGGTTTTTTGAAGTGTTCTTTTGGGAGTTTTGACTCATATATTGCCAGACTAAGACAGACAGGATCTCTGAACTCTTTCATTATGTGACAGCAAGTATTGTCCCTGAAGGAAATTCATGTGCTAGAATCTTGAACAATATAAATATTTTTATTGTAAACAAAAGCTGTGGTGTGACACTTCACAGTCAGAGAGATAAGTTATGCTTAGAGTGTATAATTTTCACTCAGTGATTTTCATTGGTTCTATATCATGATTCTGCACTATAAAATAATTACATACAATTCTTAGCATTTGTGTTGGGAAGTTTTGTGCTACCAACGTAGGATTCTTAACATTTTGCCAAACACCAACAACTCTAAGGGCAAATGCCAAACATTACCAAGTTTCTTATCAGTGCTGTTCTAAGATCACAACAGCAAAAAGTGATTCTCCTCTAACATTACTTGTTTCCCCATGGAAAAGATCAAGAACATTTGCATTTATATGGTACACAGTCATGAATTAATTGCAGTGTCTCAAATAAAGAGTGTACCTGGCATCAAGATTTATTATCCAGCATAATGTCTTGAATAACATCGCCATCCTGCGGTACTTTTTTTGACATTTATTGCTTGTGAAAAAAATCAATAATGTACTTGCTGCATCCTTTTAACAACATAACTATACACCCAGAGAACTGAGTGTTTGATAAAGCAATCAGTGTAACTGCTACCAATTTCAGTCACACTTCACCACAATAGCACTCACCTATTTTGGAACTCCATGCATGGGGCACCACACCTCAGCTGAAAGTTAGGCAACCTTCTGTCAAGTCATGCCAACACCAAGATCTCACCAGTAAGTAGGTTGGGGTAGGTCAAGGACTGCTTTTCTCATCCACCTCGAATTATAGCTGCACTTCAATTCTTGGTGTGATTCACTTTTGCCATAGGCAAGATAGGGATTGTGCTGTCAAATCCTTACTACAACCCTATATTCTGTCAATCCATCAGACTTTATAGCTGCGCATCCAAACATGGTCATTGACTCATACAGGCCCTTTGGTCCAACCAATCCACGCCGAACATGATCCCAAACCAAACTAGTCCCATCTGCCTGTTCCTGGCCCATATCCCTCCAAACCTTTCCTATTCATGTACCTATCCAAATGTCTTTTAAACATTGTAATTGTAACCACATCCACCACTTCCTCAGGAAGTGCATTCCACACGTGAACCACCCTCGACACAAAAAATTTGCCCCTCAAGTCTTTTCTAAATCTCTCTACTCTCACCTTAAAAATGTGCCCTCTAGTCTTGAAATCCCCCATCCGAGTGAAAAGACAATTACCATCAACTTTATCTATACGTCTCATTATTTTATAAACTTCTATCAGGTCGTGTCTCAACCTCCTACGCTCCAGTGAAAAAAGTCCCAGCCTATCTAAGGGCATTGATTCTATGCAGTTCCTTTTGTCGGACTTGCTTAAAACTATCCAGCTTGAACACAAAAAGACCATTTTACTTCTTTCCAATGGCTTCATTGACAGACCATGAAAACTCCAGTTCACTCCTGTGACTGTGGTGATCTCAACTCGGGAAAGTGTTAAGGATCCAACAGTTAGAAAGGATTTTACTTATTCAGGGATCATCAGATCAGCCATTGTTCCCCTTCCTGTATGCTATCCAGTAATGTGTTATGTGAAAGTATACATGTATAGAAGACAGGCAAGGATCAGATTAGGTTCAGTGATCATAAGTAGTGGTCGCATGCTGGCTCAGTTGTTAGCACAGCTACCTCACAGCATCAGGGATCTGGGTTCGATTTCACCCTTGGGCACCCTTTTAACCTGTCTGTGTGGAATTTGCACATCATACCCATGTCTGCGTGGGTTTCCTCCGGGTGCTCCAGTTTCCTCCCACGGTCCAAAAATGTGCAGGTTAAACAGACTGGCCCATAGTGTCAAGGATGTGCAAGCTATGTGGATTAGCCATGAGAAATGCAGGGATTAGGGTAAGGGATGGGTCTGGGTGGGCTGCCCTTCACAGGGTGGGTGTGGACTTGATGGGTTCAATGGCCTGTTTCCACACTATTCTGTGATATTCTGCGAAGTGATTGGCTGAAAACCAGCTGTATCTGAGCAAAGATCAAGGTTTAAGGAGAGGAGGGAAGACTCCCTGTTGGGAGAAGGAATCTTTCCCATAAAGTCATGTGGTAACTTTTGAAAGCTGCAATGGTTTATCAATGCAGTGTTCCAAATGCAAGTTTTCCACAATGTGTGCATTCCACTTTCCTTGCCTGTAGCTGTTTTCTGTGGAGACCCAGGGACTCCAGTGGAAGGGCGAATTGAAGGAAGAAGTTTCACCTACAAATCTGAAGTGTACTTCCACTGCCGACCTCCTTTTCTGTTAGTTGGATCATCAAGAAGATTTTGCCAAGCGAATGGATTCTGGAGTGGAGTTCAGCCATCTTGTATCGGTATGGTCACCTCATCCATCATGCTGGTTAATGTTCCTCAGTTTGTTGTGAGTTATAGAAATGAAAATGCAACCACTGCAGAGAGGTCATGCTTTTCTGAGTTGTCGATTGAGATAGGCTTACGGGGAGAGTTATAAAGGACCCTGACGTTTAGCTTACATCTTTTTACTTTTTCATTCCTCGTCTGTAGTCACCTTCTGTTTCAGATTTGCTTCTTTAATTTTATGGCTCTATCTCTAATCAATTTCAAAAATGGAAAGTTTAGAGCTGGGAAAATCATTCCACTGATACAGAGCTTTCATTTTGACAGCAAACACTTATTCTTACTATTAACAAGAAAGTAGTAAAAATATCTCATCAATAAAGTGGCAGTGTCACAGTCCAGTGATCACACCTTTTAAGAGATTGGGCCTTGAAATTAAGTTATGTGAATATTAAAATGTTCATATCCAATTTCATTGTCTGCTGATTAATAGCTGTTTTAATACTTTAAAATAAATAGTCCACAAAGGAGTTGATTATCAGTGTGTCGTATGTATATGCTAATATTACTTTGATGTAATTTCAAGACATTGAAGTATTCAGCATATGAAAACTGAAGTGAACATAAATATTCAAAATGACTAATTTGTAACCTGTTTAAAACAAAACTCTTTGTAGCATAGCCAGAATTATGAATATACTTTTGTTCTTTTTCATCTGTTTCAATGTTTCCATACTCTTGAAAAGATCCAACACACACTATATGTCCAGATCCAGGCACCCCTCATTTTGGAATGCAGAACAGTTCCCAAGGTTATGAGGTAAAAATAACAACTGAATCAAATATTCTGCCAATCACCCCTACCAATTGTTTCCTTTCTATATTGAGAGCATTTATGTTTTTTACAGGTTGGGAGCGCTGTGTTTTTCAAGTGTCGAAAGGGCTACCATATTCAAGGCTCTACAACACGTTCCTGTCTTGCCAATTTGACATGGAGTGGTGTGCATCCTGAATGCATTCGTAAGTTTTCTAGGTCTAAAAAGCAAAGTCTGCAAACAGTTTCTTTTTCTATGTTTATTGTGCTGCTCCATCTAATTTTTGTATACCTCCTGTTCTTGTCCATATTTAGAAAGGTATAGTTCAGTTAATTACATTTATTTGTCACAAGTACCAGTGAAGTGTGATAAACTATCTTCACCATATGGGTTGTTGCTTTCTGTCAAGTAAGTGGTTAGACTGTCAGCAGGTAATAGCTAAGGATGCAGCTGTACCTATTCTTTCCAGCTGTTAAGAAGATTTTTCATTCATTTTCAACGTGGTGTCTGTTGTAATCAGTCTTTATCATTGGAAACATAACCAATGATTAGAAGAAAGTTGGCAGCTGATTTAACATTGAAATGTTGGCATGTGAGTGAATTGAAATTGTAAGTATACTAATTGTAAGTGTTCTTTAATACAGCACGCCTGAGTATTTAAAAAAAAAACATTTTGTATAGGAAACTGCAATAAATTAATTGAGAGTTATTTGCCAAATGGTGATTTGATGCAAAGTTTAACACATATTAGTGTAATATGTTTGTGGAATGAACCAGTAGCAACTTATAATCGGTGTAGAATGCTGCCACCAATACCAATCCTCCTTTCCGAACTAAGTCCAACGTCTACTCAGTTAACAGCAGTCAAGACTGAACCACACGTACGTCTTAACAAGGAGGTGTTGTTTATTTCGTGATAACAATAGGTACAAGTGACATTGACTAGTTAGGCACAATGACAAAGACCATCAGCATCCAGAGTTAACATATCGGATCCCCACTAGGATTTCGAGCAGGACTCACTGGCTCTTCATCTAAGACTGTGTGACATCATCAGATCTGGTGGAATCTGATGCAGTCTTCAACAGTAACCCTTTCAGAACTATTACCTTGTGCAATAACCAGTTGCATATAATAGAAATTCAGGCCTAACATAAAAGCCATAAAATGATCAGAAAACAACAAGCATAGGTTTCCAATCTACAGGTGAACAAAGTCTCCAGTTTTAGAGCACTAAGTCAAAAATGGCTGCATAGTATGGTGTTGTTCTTGGTGGATAACACCATAACACATTATTAAACCACATTTTCCAAACGTAATCATTGCTTCTCTCAGGAATGGTAGAAAGAACATTCCTACACGTCTAAGGCCAATTGTTGCCCAAGTAGACTTCAACCCAAGTCCAGCAGTTGTTGTTATGGTACTGTTCTGACCGACATTCATACAACATCAAGATTTTAACAAAAAAGCCAAAAATGCTGGAAGCACTCAGTCGGTCTGGCAGCATCTATGGAGTGAGAAACTGAATTAGCATTGCAGATGGTAACTTTCATCAAATTTTTGAAGAAGCAACGAAGAAGATTGATGAAGGCAGAGTGGTGGATGTGATCTATATGGACTTCAGTAAGGCGTTTGACAAGGTTCCTGTGGTAGACTGGTTAGCAACGTTAGATCATATGGAATACAGGGAGAACTAGCTACTTGGATACAGAACTGGCTCGAAGATAGGAGTCAGAGAGTGGTGTTGGAAGTTTGTATTTCATGCTGGAGGCTTGTGACCATTGGTATGCCACAAGGATAGGTGCTGGGTCCACTGCTTTTTGTCATTTATGTAAATGATTTGGATGTGAACATAGGAGGCATGGTTTGTAAGTTTGCAGATGACACCAAAATTGGAGGTGTACTGGACATTGAAGGTTACCTCAGAGTACAATGGGATCTTGATCAGATGGGCCAGTGAGCCAAGGAATGGCAGATGGAGTTTAATTTAGGTAAATGTGAGATGCTGCATTTTGGAAAAGCAAATCAGGGCAGGACTTAGACACTTAATTGTAAGGTCCTGGGGAGTGTTGCTGAACAAAGCGACTTTGAAATGCAAGTTCATAGTGTCTTGTAAGTCGAGCCACAGGTAGATAGGGTAGTGAAGAAGGTGTTTGGTATGCTTGCCTTGATTGGTCATTGCATTGAGTATAGGAGTTGGGAGGCCATGTTGCAGCTGTACAGGACATTGGTGAGACCACTTTTGGAATACTGCATTCAATTCTGGTCTCCCTGCTATAGGAACGATGTTGTTAAACTTGAAAGGGTTCAGCAAAGATTTACAAGGATGTTGCCAGGGTTGGAGGGTTTGAGCTATAGGGAGAGGCTGAATAGGCTGGGGCTATTTTCCCTGGAGTGTCGGAGGCTGAGGGCTGACCTTATAGAAGTTTATAAAATCATGAGGGCCACAGGTAATGTGAATGCCCAATGTCTTTTCCACAAGGTAGGGGAGTCCAAAACTAGAGGGCATAGGTTTAAGGGGAGAGGGAAAAGATTTAAAAAGGACCTAAGGGGCAACTTATTCATGCAGAGGATGGCGCATGTTTGGAATGAGCTGCCAGAGGAAGGGGTGGAGGCTGGTACAATTATAGCATTTAAAAGGTATTTGAATGGATATACGAAAAGGAAGGATTTAGAGGGATCAGGGCCAAATGCTGGCAAATGGGACTAGATTAATTGAGGATATCTGGTTGGCGTGGATGAGTTGGACCAAAGGGTCTGTTTCCATGCTGTTCATCTCTATGACTCAAGAACTGTATAAAAGAAGAGGACATTAGAGGTGAACAACTTTTTAAGCGATCATAACGATTTGCAAGAACAGAGAAAGAAAGAGAAGGTCTGTCACAGGGTGGAGGACATTCATGGTGAAATTACAAATGGACCATGGTGCAAAGATGGTGTGTGCTTATAAAAAATTACCCATTTAACTCTTTCAATTTCTCCCTCATCATGTCCTGATTTGGGAATTCAGCCAAGTCAATAAATTGTATTTGATTCCAACCATGTATCTGATTGCTTAGTTTTTAATCACCCAGTCAAATAATTGTTGGTAGTCAGAATGAAGAAAGCATGAGAGATCCCAAGTATTCTGTAACATGCTTTGGACAGAGCCAGTGTGTGATGAGAAGGTGAAATTGTGCTTTGATCTTTTATTACAACACCGTCTCAAGCAACATATTTAAGAACAAAATAAACAGCTCCTTGCATATGAACTGTTTGCATCTGTGTCTGTCTGAGGTAGCGAAAACACTGCAGAATTGCTACATACAATGCTTCATTCCCAAGTGGCATCATCAGTTAATTGTGTATGAATTACTTACTGAGGATATAAACTCTGATTACCAAGAATCCCTTGTGGAAACATTGACTGCAATTAGTATATCGTCTCCATTATTGAAAGGCATCAGTATCAACACACAGGTATTAGGTAATGCCAGGAAAATGTTCCAGGTATAATTAGCGATGTACGACCACTAACTGGAATGGATTGTAAATTAATTTGATGATGAGAATAGACATCAGATGATGAGCAAACAACTTTTTCATTGCTCAGAAGTGTCACTCAGATGTGCAAGTCATGAGCAGTTTATTCCAAAAATATTAATTATAAGCCATTGGCATGAATAAGATAGTTGCTGCAGTTTTTGTCTAATGGTACCATCTGAGTAGGTTTCCCAGATGATTTTTTTGTTGCTTTAGTAGCCTCAATGAGATTTATTACAATGTTAAATGGACTTTGCATAGTCAGGTTCAGATAATCTGTGTGACCAATTGAAGCAACTGGTCCCTTACAGCTGAATGAATATTTTGTGTGTATTGATCACACTTGCCAGCCGTATATCTAGCAGAAATCCCAGAGGAATTGTGTAAGTGATTTACATTGTTTTTCACAAGGTCTCCACAGCTATTCTGCCAAAGTTATCTCACAAGCAGGAAGACCCCAGAAGATCTCTCCCTAAGTGTTGTGCATCTTATTGTTAAAATGTTTCAAACTGTTTGCTGAGTTTTAACCATTTGATTCATTCCAGGGAAACAACTGGCAAATTTTTGATCCTGCACCTTTAGTTATTTACAATAATCTGATTATTATTGCTTCATTGGCTGATTTCTCATTCTTTATTTTCCTTCAAGCTCACAGCTGCCGACAGCCTGAAACACCTGCAAACGTGGATATGAGAGCCATTGAACTGCCAATCATGGGTTATACCTTAATTTACACCTGCCAGCCAGGATTCTACCTCGCAGGAGGATCTGAACACCGGGCATGCAAGAGTGATGGGAAATGGTCTGGAAAGCCACCAGTCTGCCGAGGTAATTGAAGTGTGAATGGTAAAAAAGGATAAGCAAACAAAACTCAGCTCCGGACAATCTCTTGGCAAGTGTCTGTGGAAGTGTGCCATTGCAGGAGCCTGCATTTGGAAGCTCTCAGTTTTGCCAGGTTGTCTGTGCTGAGTAAATTCAATTTTTGACAGGCTGGTCCTAGGAGACCTGCAATTGCAATTGGCCCACTCTCCCCTGTGTCAGACCAAAGAAAAATCAACTAGGATCACCATTCCACAACTCCTGCAGGAGAACGACATGAGAAAACTATGGAGCAGCTTTATGCTGTAAGCAGTTTCTCTCTGTGTCTGTTAATAGTAACTAAAGAAATAACCTGTCTCGTGTGTTACAAATTGGCAGTAAATTAATGTAAGAGTGCTTGGCACATAAATGAAATGTGACACTGATATTTGGAACTGTGGCACCTTGTTGAAATGAGCTGAGGAAATCTTATTCTCTTGTGGCTGATCTGTTCTGTCTTTGAAATACTAAATGCAGCATTGGTGGTAAAAATAAGAGGGTACCTTTTGCAACTCTAACCTTTATAAGCCTTATGGTTCAAATATCCTGCATTTGGTAACATCTTGCCCAAACAAGGGAGTTGTTTGAATAAAATGAATGGAAAGAGTATTATTTACAGTGGGATTTTAAGGTGTAGAGCTGGATGAACACAGCAGGCCAAGCAGCATCAGAGGAGCAGGAAAGCTGACGTTTCGGGTCTAGACCCTTCTTCAGAAATGGGGGAGGGGAAGGG